GCGAGACGCAACAGCCAGAAGTCACCTTCGATCGTTACTAGGATGCCGTACTTCTGATGTGTTGTTGAGGTGGATATGGGCGCCACGAGGGAGTTGCAGGCCGCAGCTGCTTGTCCGTTCGCTTTGCAGCCTCGCCTGTGCCCGCGGCTACTACAGGATCCGAACGCTAGCGCCAAACGCCAAAAACCCTAAAACAGAAACCTGCATATCTTCTTCAAGGGGTCCTCGTCAGCAGAATACCAGTATACCATAATGATACGCACCGAAGCCCTACTTCGGATCCTTCAGGCTTCGATATTAACCAGTTCGTCCGCCATCACAATGCCTGCGCAGGCAAGGGAAGCGCGGCGAGTTACTGGCGCCGACGGAGGTCGTCCAGAATTTTAGTATAGAGGTCTAAATATTATACGGATAGTCGGTTGTAGGCTTCCGGGGAATACTTATGTAACGTATGTACTATCACGGAAGCCCGAAAACACTGTCCGTATTGCTGGGGTTTGGGGTGCAGGACGTAGGGTTTGACAAAGTTTGAGTTGCAGTATTGGGTGGTTTTGCAGCAGACCGGTCCCCTAGACCTCACAAAACCCGAAATGTAATAAGCGTATTAAGTACATGTATCTATATTATATATATATATTAACAGTATGATCATCATTTCTTTTTTTTGCTACTATGAGCGTTATTCGTCTGATCAATGTTTTCATCTTTATTATTGCTGTAAGCATCATCATCCTCCGCATCATCAACATCATCATCACCATCATTCTTATCGTCGTCATCAGCATCATCATATGACGAAGAAGAAGACCGGAAGCCTTTTCACGGTCTACCTGAATGAGCCCAGGAAAGCCGAAAGCCATGACTGCGACGTCGCAACTTGTAGCCCTGAAATTCCTGAAACCTAACACCCCATGAATCGAAACCTGACACCCCATGAATCGAAATCTGGTTATGCATATAACGCCTGGCTGAAATATTTCAACCCGGACCCCCGCTGCCCCGCTATGAACTCTGCCCTTCCCAAAAAGAACAGCAACAGAAAGTCAGCCAATAGTTCACAACAGGCATCTCCGCATCCGAAACCCCAGACCCATGACCCGATAAGCCCTATAAGCCCTACCCGTAGATAGTAGTTCCTTCTTGGGATTACCTTATAGGATTCTAAATGTGAACCCCAAAACGGAACTACAATGCGGCCTATGGGTAAACACTAGAAGCCCATGAACCCCGTTAGCCCTATTGACCGGGGAGGTTTGCTGGCCTCTTGACCCCTAAACCTAGTACCCTATAGCCGAAACCCTAAACTCCAAACCCTACACCCCTAAACCCCAAACCCTAACCCCATACCCGAAACCCTAAACCCCTAACCCGAAACCCCCTAAACCCTACACCCCTAAACCCCCCCAACCCCCCTTGGGGAGGTTTGCTGGCCTCCAGTCCCTTCGGCACTGATTCCTCAGCGCAGAATTCTCCCACTGACTCGCCGGTCTGACTTTAGATCCCCACACAGGGGCCTTAATTTTTTTTCAGAATGAAATTTTAGGATCTCCACGATATAGGTGCCTTAGTTAAGGGTTTAGGATAATATTTTTCTTAGAATGAAATTCTGGGGTGGATTATTAGTGTAAGGATGTTGTGGCCGAATGATGAACACTTCTCTATAGAATGCAGTTTCTGGGGGGTATATTGTATATAAGAGTAGAATGAAAGGTTGTAGGACCCTCCAGGATTAACGTTGGTACGTATTCAGGCTTATATGGTAGGGCTTTTGATTTAGCTTTTGCCAAAACGATCCCGGGCAGCCAAGATGAGACCTTGATGGTACTAGTACTGAACAGCGGGTATTTAGACATAATACTTACATTGTTCTAGCTTTCCCTTTGTGATGCTTTGGGGCTGCATCCGGCAGGATGTGAAGATTCAGGGCGTCTACGTGCCCCCGGACACCACCAACTCCATGAACCGAAACGCGAAGACAGTCATCCAACTCCCGTTCTTTGTGCAGTCTTCGTTTGAGCACTTAACGGTTCTCTACTCTGACCTTGAAGCCTAAACTTTAGACCCTCAGCCCTACGCTATAAGTTTCAGCTTGTTTCAGCTTAAGGTCAGGACTCCAAGCCCTAAACACCCTGCTGACATGAATTATTGGATCCAGGTCAGGAGATCTATAGAAGACAGCGAGTCTCATTTTAAAGCCGCTCTTCACCTCCACTTGGGGCAGCTCCACCCTTGTGGAAGCGTCATCGGTTGCAGGATGCTAGGATTCGCTGTTGCCCGAATTGCCAAAGCAGGTGTTTAGGGTTATTCAAGGTTTCGGGCAGTTCGAGTCAAGGTTGAGAAATGGCAAGACAGGACAGAGGTCATTGGGTACATTCGAGTGAGTTGATGTCCTGGACGGGCATGCTGTGCCCTGGCATCGTTTGTTTGCACAAGCTGGCTAACTGCTAAAGCTTCCAGACTGAGCACACAAAGGCTTGATTTATCAGGAGTTCTATTGTTAGATGGTTCTTTGGTAGTCACACAGCAGCTGTCGTCTACATGAGAGGTGACATTGGAATAAGTTTGTGGTGCTTTCGCAGGTCCGCATCGAACTAGTGCGCGTTGCCAGGCATCATACATGTTGGCTTCAGCATCTTTGCAGCAGTCCTTGCAGGCAAGGATCCAATCCTGAGCATCTGAACCAAGCCTGATAAGCTCACAGGACATCAGTGTTCTTCTTACATGTGCTAGACGGGCTTCTAGGTCCTGATTCTAGGTCCTCTTCTCACACACACATACTGACACAGCGACATGCACCCCAAGTCTTTCGGGCAGCGGTGCTTTTGCAATGATGCTCCAGTACGTTATGGGAGCAGTAGGATACAAGACCAGAGAGACCAGGGAATGCTTGCTTATCGACCAAATCTTCCAAGGCCATGCCACACTTAGAGGATCATGGGACTTAGTAAGTAAGGCTCCTTAAAGGGATCTATAGGGTTCCTTGAAGGGGTCTAGGGAGTTCTTAGAGGATCATGGGACTTAGTAAGTAGGTTATAATTAGGGTTATAAGGCCCCTAAGTGGGGTTATCCTAACTATATCCTACTTATAACCTTACTTACTAAGTCCCATGATCCTCTAAGCACCCACAGCAGGGCCTAAGCACTTGTTCGTACGCCAGATCCACTCGAAGTCGAGTGGACTGGATGTGCTTCAAACCCCGAAATGAAGCTTCGCGCCACATCTATGGGGTGGTTGTATTTCGAGTGCCTGAATAGTGGAGCAGCAGGACTTTCCAGCAAAAAAGCACTGGAGCCAACAGACTGGCAGTGACTAGCAATACCGTAGACTCGGCTCCGGGATTCCTCCTGAAATGTCGATAGCGGCATCTATTACAAAATGAAACAATAGTTTGGGCCGGTAGATTCAGGTTCACCTGTAGATCGTCCAGGCCCCGAAGCTCTGCAAGTCAGAATTGCTCACGCTATAAAGACTTAAAGCCACAGTAAACCCAAAGCCCATAAACCCCAGTCCTAAACCCCATCCCTGGCAAGCGGTCTTGCTTGACGATGCACAGCTCAGCCATCTGCTTCGTGGTCCAGTTCCCTTCTGTAACAAGAAGGAACACATAGACGTCGGGTTCCCTACAGTAAATTCAGAGAAGCCCCTGGCACCAAAAAATGTTCCTGTAGTGGGTCTGCAGTCATTTAGGGTTTGAACTTCGGCTTCCTGGCATTCTGACGCTAGTGCTCGTAGATGCTTAATTACTGGTTTCGGTCCCCATCCAAACAATGTCTGGTGCAGAACCGATCGGCACCGCTTCTGCACGCTTGGGCCAAGTCCGTAGCAGCAGTAGTAGTAGTAGTAGCAGCAGTAGGAGTAGTAGTAGTAGTAGTAGTACTACTACTACTACTACTACAACTACTGCTACTACTACTACTACTGCTACTACTACTACTACTACTACTACTACTACTACTACTACTACTACTACTACTACTAGTAGTACTAGTACTAGTACTCGTCGCAGTAGTACGTACTCGTAGCAGGTAGCATTGGTGGTGGTGCAATTGTAGGGGGCTCGGGGATCTGGCAGCTCCCGAAATTTGAGGTTGGTAGAGATTCCAACAGTCCTGTCATAGCACAACCCTAAACCCTGATCCTAAACCCTAAATCCTAAACCCTAAATCCTAAACCCTAAACCCTGAATCCTAAGCTTGAAGACACAAGGCCTAAAAAGGTCTCCCATCTTTGAGAGGAAATGGGCCCTTTATACCAAAAGAAGCAAAAGAGCTTCAATGGCATAGACAGTGGACAGTTTGGGCCGGCGCCGGGCCTTGTCACAGTTGGAAAAAGCGAATGAGGCGGAGACTAAGCCCTATGGGTTTCCCTAATATCGGGGCCTTGATAATTAGAATACGGTTTTGGGTGTATATTATACTAGTGACGATAATAAGGAACCTCCAAAATGGCATTGGTAATTTTTCGGCGTGTGCATTACACCCCTCGACTCCAAAAGTATGTAAAACAAGGGCCTTGTATAGGTGTTGGGCCATTATTGTACTTTCTTCTGGGGGTCTAGGTAAACTCTAAACGTTAAACCCTAAACCGTAGCCAGACGTCGTCAGCGTGTTCGTGTTTTGTGGTGGTTTATGTGCACAGGCAGGGCCGTCTGGCATTGGTAAACCTCACTCCTTCATACGAGAGCTGCATACCTGGGGTTTCTGAGGATTCGGGGTCCCGTACTTGGTGCTGTATGGTAAGGATCCGAAAATTTGGGGTTTTCAGAGTACGTAGTTCACATTCTTTCTCTTTCCTGTTGCTCCCACACACGGTTTGCTGACGGGAGTTGAAGCGCGCGTTTCGGTGAATTTCTGGGTTGTGGCGCGCTGCCGAGAGATCCTTTGCACCTAGCGGCTATGAGAGTTTATGACAAGAGATCCAGAGCGTCAAGGTTTCAGGGCTTCCTTTCCGAGTAAGCCCCCTCTCCCCATCAACCTAAACCTTCTGTTCCGACTCAGGCATGCAGGCGGATTTCAACTTAGATTTCGTTTCTTGGCCTGCAGCAGGTGATGACAGCCTTTGGACAAAGAAGCAATGGGGGTAAGGGGGAGGGGGGTAGGGGACTATACTTCTTTAAATAGGCTGTATTAGGTCCTTATTATGGGCATCAAGGCCCCCTACCCCCCTTCCCCCTACCCCGCTAAGGGTCCCTGTGAAGCTAGGTTCTTTTGGTCGGGACTTTGGCTTTCGGTTCGCTCTTGGAAAAGAATCTCTGCGAGCATTTGGCTTAGATTTCTGAGAGCTGGCTGGGCTTTGAAACCTCTTCCTAGCCTGCACTTTTTCCCCCAAATCGCTACCTTTGACTTGGCGATGGATTATACAGCAAGCTTCCGTGCGGAAGAACAGGACGATTACACAAAAGTTGGGATGCCAAGGCAAGCCCGGTCAAAGCCACGGAAGCCCTACCCACCATCAAGCAGCAAAGCCCGAAACCCAGCAGCAATTTAGCATTTTCACCATGTGACCATTACTATTACTATAGCTTTTTTACGGAAACTGTTACTGCTACTTTCACTTTTCTACTCTTAGAATACCTTTTTCATAAGGGTAGTTGTCAAAATTAGGGTCCCTTTTGTGGTCCTTGCTATAATACGGCACCTAATATTTAGGGTACCCAAGAAGGGACCATAATTTTGACAACCACCCATAAATCCGTATACGACATGTCCTTCCAACTGTGGCTTTGGGTCTGACATGCTTTGCTGGCCAGGCTGGTCGGGGAGCGATTCGGGTTACTTAAAGGCTCATGGGACGTAGTAAGTAAGGTTATAAGTAGGATAACCCCACTTATGGGGACTTATAACCCTAATTATAACCTACTTACTAAGTCCCATGATCCTCTAAGTAGGGGTTACCCATAGGCCCCATAGTAGTTCCTTTTTGGGATTACCTTTTTGGATTCAAATTCTAAGTATGGACCCCCAAAAGGAACTACTATGGCCTCTAGGTAGGGCCTTCAGGATTTAGGGTTTGCGGTTCGGGCCTTTACAGTATAGGGCTATAGGGGCTTGAATCAAACCAGGAAAATGTACCCTATACGTCTCTATGATAGGTATCTGTATAATATCTTACCCCAGTAACCGTACCTGGAGCCAGAGGGGTAGATAAGAATGGGGTTTAGGGCTCAGCGAATTGAGCAAAGCCTAGAGCAACGGCCCAGAGTCCATGCGAGCTGTCAACCCAAAGGTGCCCCAACTCAATTCCCGAGCCCCAACCTAGACTCTAGACCCCCCCCCCAACTACTTGGTATTTTGCCTTGTCACGAGAAATCTACTTTGGGGGGGGGCTCCTCCTAGAAATCCTTGAGCCCGTGGGACCTAGGGTTCAGGGTTTGTTTCGCCCGGGAGCTGTTGGGAGTTGCACTCACCCAAGAAGCTCTTCGTGGAATTTCCATTACGACATGAACGTGTATATTAGTTTATATTCCTTTTCGCTTCAAAGCCAAAGCCCTAAACCCTCAACCCCTCAACCAGTTATTAAACCCTAAAGGCTTAAACCCCAACCCCTAACCCCTAATTCCTAAACCTTGAACCGTGGCTAAGCTAGAAGTAGAATTCGGCGCAAGAGCTGTGCGCCGAAGGCCAGGTAGGGCACGGCGGCAAAGACTGCCCGTCATCGTCATGAAATATAATATAGGGGCCTAAACATATCTACCAGTACTATACTGGCGGGTTCCTTCTTATAGTTATAATACAATGGGCGCCAAAACCCTGATCTAAGTATTCGAAGGCCTCTATATCAATGGTTGAAGGTTTAGGGTTTGCAGGTGGGAGCACAGGTACTTCTCATGAGCACTTCGCAGCCCGATTTGTGCGATTCGGAGCGTTGGACCTGGAAGTTAAGAGTAAAGCTCCCAGCAGTCGAATTTGGTTGTAAACACCCTAAACCCTAAACCTTAAGCCCTAAACCCTAAGCCCTAAACCTTAAACCCTAAACCCTAAACCTTAAACCTCAAACCTTAAACCCTAAACCCTAGTAAGTTTTGCAGGCGGCGTAGCCTGAAAGAGTGGTCCAGAAAGCCCGAGCACCCGCTGACCCTGAACCCTTCACCTGCGTACGGCCCCTAAGCCCTAAACCCCTAAGCCTAAACCACTACACCCTTAACCCCTTACCCCCTAACCCCTAAACCCCTAAACCCGAACACCTAAACCCCTAAACCCCTAAAGCCCTGAAGCCAAAGCTCCAGCTCCTCAGCGGCGCACCTCATCCATGGAGCTCGCGCTGGCGCCCGAACGACCGACGTCCACTTGGGACGTCGGACCTTCTCTGGGCCTTGGGCCTATAGCGAAGAGGTGCGCAGCAGGGTTTAAGGTTTTTAGGGTTTGGGGTCTAGGGTTTCATTCGATCTCTGGGCTTTGGATTTAATTTAGGGTTTAGAGTTTGCTATGACTAAGAGGTGCAGAATGATTGATAGTTCTGTAAGCTTCAGTTATTTAATGTACGGGCCTGAATAATTGAAATGCACTCCATCATAGTCACCCTCAGGAGTAGCTGGCAAGTAGTAAAGCTCCGATACTAGATAGAAGGAGCCATTAATCAGGTAGTTTGTAGGCCAGTAGCCCATTGCTCAGGCGGAGCCCTCGGGTGCATGTGCCCAGAGCCTCCAAAACCCCTCAATTCAGGAATACCTTTTCTCATACTAGGCTCCCTGATATGATTCAAGGTATATTCCTTCATTAAGGGGTTTTGGAGGCTCTGGGTGTACAGTAGAAGCCAGAAAGTTGGAATATAATTATCGTAACCCCTTTAACGTAAATTATAGGGGATCCTACCATTAATCCATATTCCAACTTTCTGGAGTTCCCTTTATAGGATTTTGCTTCGGGTGTTGAGAAATTATTTGATGTAGCACCTTCGGTCGTGAGTCTTGGATGTATAACTAGGATGCCCAGTAGTACCCTTATTCCCTTTTTTTTAGTCCTAGGTTCCTTTTAAAATTACTCAATACCTAAAAGGGAGCCTTTTTTTATTCCTCTGTTACCGGGCATCCTAGATCAAGAACAGCGGGTGAAGTCACTTTTCCGTTAATGTAGGAACCTGATTAAGGAACCCTGGCCCGACCTCGACCCCCAAAAGTAGGTAACATAATTGCCCAAAACCTATAAAAGGCGATGATTCTACATACTGTTGGGGTCCAGGCAAAACAACTTGATTCATATAAACAGCCCGAATGCTTCTTAATCAGGTTCCTACATAAACCATTATTATGGGCCTTTGCAGGCAGGATCGGGGCAGAAACAGGGTCGAGACCCCCGGATAGAGCTAAGAGGTGAGACCAGACAACTTTGTGCGTTTTCAGGGTTCAGGGTTTAGGGATTGTTTTTAAGGGTTTCCATTTTTCAGGTTGGGCTTTAATGCTTTGGGGGCATTCCCATTTGAGATAGCATTCCCGGCCCTCGGCTTCGACCGTAAGCAAGTGAGTGCTCTTGAACTCTCAGTCTTAGTATCTTGTAGGCCTGATTAGAATTCGGCATAGTTCTGGTGTGCAGTTGTTATATCCTGGCATGTACATCATGGAGGCTCCTTCTTATCAGTATTCCTCGTGCACCCACAGCGGGCGCGCCCAAAGGATGTTGAGGATGTGACAGGATCACGAGCTGCCTGCAGTTTCTCACGAAGATGCCTCTAGGCATCGGATTCCCATTCTAGTAGAAGCCAAAAAGTTGGAAACCCAATAGCCTCATTCCTTAAGAGTAACGAAACGGGAATCCCAGCACTATTTGGCCTTAATCCGGTGTCCAACTTTATGTGGCTTACAGTATCAGTATTCGCATTATCCGGTCTACGTGCCCGTCTTGTCTGCGATAAGGTACCACTTGACGGGAGTGCCAATTTAAAGTCTTCCATAAAGTTCTGGATGCAAAAGCCCTATACAACAAAACAAACGCCCAAACCGTGACCCTGAAACCCAAGCCCGTAAACCCCAAACACTAAACCCCTACAACCCTAAACCCCCTAAACCCCTATGTAAACCCTTAAGCCCTCAACCCTGAAACCCTGCACCTCTAAACCCCCAGCCCCGTAACTCCCCCAGCCCGATCAGCAAGAACAGTCTGAGAAGCTTCGGAGGTGTATCCTCGACATCTCCACGGATATGCGGTGCTGGCCGCTGATTCTGCTGGTCCTTCGGTCGTGACCTTCAGTTTAAGGGTAGGGGCTCTATTGGGTTACGGATTGGTCCCGAAACCCTAAAGCCTGTAAACCTTAAACGCCTAAACCCTAAACCCCCAAAACACAAACCCCTAAACTAAGCGCCTAAAGCCTAAACCCCAAAAGCACAAACCCCTAAACTAAACGCCTCGAGCCTAAACCCAAACATCGCCACGACCCTCCAAGGGCCTCTTACGAGAGCCCTCATGGTACTTAATAGTGGGTATATGTGTGTGTATATATAGATGTGTATAAATGAATATATATATATATACATACATACATACATACATACATACATACACACATATTGGAGGGTACATATACACGATGTTAGGGAATTAGGTCCACAAAACAATAATGTGGATGGTCTTTTGGGGCCTAATTCCGCAATGGTAGTATATGGGTAGTTCTCTAAATGAGGGCCCCCTTTCAGATCCCAACTATAGTACGACACCCTTATACAAGGGATCTAAACTGCACCCTAATTCCGAATTTAGAGAACTGCCCATCTCTGGCCCCCTAGGTAAGTGCCCACAACCGACCTCTCCGAGGCTCCTTAAAGGGATCTATAGGATTCCTTAAAAGGGATCTATAGGGTTTAGGGTTTAGGGTCTACTTAGAGGTTCATGGTACTTAGTATCTAGGGTTATAAATAAGGTAACTATACCTAGAACCCGAATTAAGGTACTTGTAACCTTGCTTACTACCTATAGTCTCCATTGTAGTTCCTTTTTGGGGTTACCTTATAGGATCCTAATTATATAATTGGTTAAATCCCCAGGTGCCCTGCATGGCGATCGGGGCTCGATTTATTTCTCTCTCCTTCGTGGTAAAAACGGGCAGCAAGATCGACTATCTGGCAGTGCCTCAGCTGCATATGGGAGTTTCCGAAAATAGGGGACCCGAATGTAGTGCCCTAAATAATAGGATCCTTAGATCCCAAAATACGGTACCCCTAATTTTCGGAAACCCCATATAAAGCCTGAAACCCAACCCAAAGGCCAGGATGATGATGCTTCGGGATGTAGGAATCCTAAAACCGAAGCCCAAAGCCTGGAACCCTGACCCTCAGGTGGTGATTCAGGTTTAGGGTTTAGGGTTTAGGGGTTTAGGGTTTAGGGTTTAGGGTTTTCAGTGCTTCGGCCGTGTCTGCTGGGCAACCTTTTCACGACTTGAAGGTGAGGATTCAGGGCAACTTGAGGATGTTAGAGGTTTCGGTGTTTCGGATTTCTTTTAGAGATGTTGAGGCCAAGTTGAAGGTTTAGAGGTTTATGGTTCGCTTTTTGGGAACCCTATAAACCCCAAAATCCCAACCCCTGCATCCCCAAATCCTAAAACTCCTGAAACCCCCCAATCCCAAAACCTAAACCCTCACCCGCTTGAGTCAGGTCGTAGCCCTCGTCTACAGCTGCGCGGAGCTTTCCAGCCTCATCGTTCATTTGGTAACTTTGTCATAGTTGGGTAACATTTTGCACGTTTAAGGGTACTTAATCCCAAGAATGAAACAAAAAATAGGGCCATCCCAACCATGGACTGGGAGATCGACTCTCTCTTCCTGTCCCAACATGCACTACTAGACTCTAGGAGCCTGATAAATGGCCCGATCGTTTTCAGCTGTATAAGGACTCCTCAATAAGACTAATCGTCTGATCTCTACATTATCGGGCCCTGTGCTGTAGCAGCTTGTCTTGGATACCCTGTATCGGAAGGGTGGGGTTCCCATCAGCTCAGGTAAGCAGACAAGCCCAGAGAGCCCAATACTCGATAATTAAGAAACATACCTTAAATAATCAGGAGCTTCCTTTTCTTATTGAAGCTATCTTCCATAATTAAGGGGTATTGGGCTCTCTGGGAGGTACCACATGTAAGGGTGTAGCCGTAGGTCTTAGTGGACCGGTTGGTGTATCCTTCTGTCTGGTTGCAGAAGCTGATCTTGGGACTCAGCTGAAGGGCTCTGTGGCTTCCTGTTTATTGAGTATATCGCAAACCTATGATGAATAGAGGAGCTCCTTGTTGAAGGAACTATGGCAGACCCCACCCACAGAGCGAGCGGCTGGAGGGAGGGAGGGAGTGAGGGAGGAGGGTCCCAGCTCCAAGAGGACCACCTCGTGATCGCAATGACCATGATGATGATGTTGATGATTATACGTGATGCTTGTGTTGACGGCCTTGATGTTCAGACGGGGGTGATCAGGATAATCATGCTGACCACTCTTATGGCCAGGATGATCGCTACGAATGTTTGGCTCTGTGAAGCCAAAAGGTTTTGTTTTCTTAGTTGGTTGATGTCTTTCATCCCGACATGATCATATAATATAGGTGCTTTAACAGTTACCTATACTAATTTTTGGGGCTCCTTATTATAAGTATAGTATAATGGGCCCCCAAATCCTACTCTAATCATTAAAACCCCCATATTGAGCACACCTGCTCGTCCTCGGCCTTTTTTGCGGTGCTTCCAATGTGAGGAGCGAGGATGCTCGAACCCCGAGTTGTCGTCTCTGTCCGCTGCACCCGATGTGTAGAATTTCCGCAAAGGGGCGAGAGCATAAAGAAAAGGTTCTTGTGCGCAAAGCCTTTCGCAGACAGCTCTCTTCAGAAGTCCTGCGCCCAAGCCCTTGAAAGCTTTAAATCCAGCTTAGGCGCGATTACTTGGGTTTAGCGGTTAGGGTTCAGAGATTCCTCGGTATAGGCGGTCCGCATCACCATCGAATCGAAGGTTTATGCGCGGTGCAAGCGCTACAGACGTGACTTCCCGGCACAGGATCAAGAGACCGGAGTCTTGGAGATCAGGTATTTTTTGGCCTTTGGCGACATGAGCCGTCTTGTTTTCGGAGTTCTGGTGGTGAGTCAGTGAAGCTTTATGTTTGTGGACCCCCTGTAGCCCCATAACCCTAAACTCTCTAAACTCTACAAGCTGCTTTGAGGATCCCTACTTGGTAAACTCCCTAGATTGATACCCTCATAGGCCCTACGCCAAGTGGTCATCCGGCGACTGTGTGTTGTGCCGCCGGGGTTGCTGGAGAAATTTGTTTGCCCTGGCTTTAGGGTTGAGGGTGATCTTCGACTAGAGAATCTACTGCGCTGCCCTCCTTGAGCTGACATTTGATGTTCCAAGACCAAAGACCCTCTCCCGAAGCCGTCATGTCGCTGATTTGCTGGCCTGCAGCACGAACATCTGAGGAGACGGTGTGATGCTTCGATTGAAGGAGGTCTGCTACTGGGTTGCCGCAGCTGTGTGTTTGCTGCTGATTGTGTTGGTCTTGACAGTGCTTCAGCTGCAAGTAATATAATCGGAATAGTTGCCGATGTTACTTTGTGCTAGCAATTGAGAGCCGATCGTTTCTGTACCGAAATCTTGCTAAACTTGCAATCCTTGGTAATGTTGACCGCTTGCACCACTTGGGGAGGGGGGTGGGGCGGCGGTAATTTTGTTTATCTTGGTCATGTAGGTCACCAAGATTGCCGCTTGCCTCCCGACCCCCAAGTGCTGCAAGCGGTCAAGTGGTACAGGTGGTGCAAGTGGTCACCCTAAACCCTAAACCCTGGTTGCGTGTGCGGTTTTGTTCGCTGGTCGGCTCTCGTTTGCCGACGCGCAGCGATGTGGTTTCTTACGGCTATAGTAGAATATACCCCAAACTTATTCTAATCAGTAAGGCCTACGTCGCAATGTGGGGGGAGGGCGTAATATTTTAATAGGGTTCCCTTTAAAGGGCTCCTTAAGGGGATCTATAGTAGGGTTCTGCCTACATCCATAACCTTCAATCTCAAGACCACAAAACCCTTCCCACGTAACGGTCAGGTCTCGGTAAGTCAGTTTTACCACATCACTTGGGGGCTCCTTTTTCTATGAAGGCCGTAGGTGGGTGCCGTAACAGCCGTGGGACCGCAAAAGGAAAATGGGAGTTTCCGAGAATTCGGGGCACCTTATTTTGGGGTCCTTGTAGAATGGATCCTACTTTTCGGGTACTGTATTAGGGTCCCCTATTTTCCAAAAACTCCCATAACTCCCATATAGTACCCTGATAGAAACCCTTATAGATCCCTTTCAAGGACCCTGTTAAGGAGCCTTAATTAGTTATAGATAACTCTAAACAATTTCCCTCCGCCGTCGGCAAGACCCTGACTCCTGGCAAAGCTCCCAGGCTGGAGCTCCTAATCCGGTCTGAGAGTTGAGCCCCAATGCTATGCAACCTACGTACTACAGTAAACCCCATAAAGCTGGAAACCGGAGTAAAGCCAAACAGTGCTGGGATCCCTTATATTTCACAATTGGGTTTCCAACTTTTGGGCTTCTGCTGTATAGTCACAGGAAGCCAAAAGGGGTTTTAGCTTATGGGGGTTTATCAGGGATTGGGGTTCCCATAATAGGGTTCATATTAAGGAATCCTACCCCAAGAATCTTAAACCCCCCTTTCGGCCTCCCATCAAAATATAGGGCCCTTAACCTATAATAAGGGAACCTTTGAAGGGGTCTATAAGGGCTACTAATTTTAAGGGATACTATAAAGGGTACTATGATACCGGGGCCTTGATAACTACCTATACTATTCTAATCTTAGGGGTTCTTTTTTATAATGATAGTAACATATATGTGCCCCAGGACCCTACTGATTTAAACAGAAAAGTAAGGCCCCGTTATTCTGAAACCAGCAGGAACTGCATGCACTCAACGTGGCAACGAAGCCAGGAAACCTGCAAGTATTTTGGAACCACGAGAGTCTTCGGCAGAGACTGAACGAGCTTTGTCCCGTGTTGCATGATGATGCCAGTCTTATGGCGGTTCAAAAAGCTGAATCATTCAGCTGTGAGTCGCATTAGAGAGTTTAGGAGATAAGGGACCTCTACTACAGACCCTGGCACATGTGGCACGTGTATAAGTGGGACTTGAAGACCCTTAAACCAGATACCTCATGCATTGAAACAATCCATGGTGGGACCTCGTGAGCGACTGAGCTATTCAAGCCCTAAGGGTCTAAGTACCTGATTATCATATACTCTCCCAAATAGTAACCTACATAACTACTATCCTAAAGCCAAGCACCTGATTATTGGGTCCGTTGGACCCTTGGGGAAGGTGCTGGAGCAGTGGCTCTACTACTCGCGGTTCCACGCCTCCATGGGGTTTGAGTCGATGGTCTTGGTGTCTCAGGTTCTGTAGCTTGGCACCAATCCCTTCATTTTGGGTGTTGGGGGTGAATAAGGACCCCAAAAGTATGTAGAGTAATAGCAACTTATGGGCTTTGGACAATTATTTTGCCTACTGTTGGGGGTCGAGGTAAAGAGGTAAAGTAGAAGCCAGAAAGTTGGAAATTCATTATCGTAACCCCTTTGAGGTAAATTATAGGGGATCCTACCATAAATCCATATTCCAACTTTCTGGAGTTCCCTTTAAGAGGTTTAGGGTTCAGGGCTCGAGCCACGCGGAACCAAGGTATGGGGTGGTTCACATTCCTTTCGGAGTGCCGCCGCACTTGGCTACCATCTTGCTCATGCAGTTTGACCTCGACCCTTGTCCGCTTCAGGCTTTGGGCGTGGGGTTTAGGTTTAGCTTTCTGCTTGGACTATAGATTTAGGAGGTGTTGTGTTTCTACATCCCTTCGCATCCTCTGAACTCCGCCCTGCCTTTTTAACTGCAAGAAACCTCTCGGGTCCTAGGCCTAGGCATAGGTTCAAGATTTACGGTTCTTTGAGCCAAAGACGGGCATAGGCATAGTCGCACCCGTGATGTGCTGAAACCGGAGTTTTGCTTTGTAGCTTCAGGTCAGGGGTTCGGGGTTTAAGTTTCAGGCTTTGAGGTTGCAGGGTTGAGGGTCTAGACGGTTTAGGGTTTAGGGTTCAGGCTTGGGTTCAGGGTCTATAGGGTTTAGGGCTTAACTAGGGTTTAGGGTTTAGGGTTCAGGCTTTACATAGGTTGCGGGGTTTATAGGGTCTACAGGGTGTCATTACCCAGACCCCCGTGAAGATCTAGAAAGTAGATCCCCTAATTTGGGGCCCTATACTACTAAGGGTGCTTTGTAGGAACTCCCATTAAGGGATTTACTTTTTGCATCCTCCCGGGGGTCTGGGTAGGGGTTCTAGACATATTGGACCTTGGATCCTCGGCAAAGGATCCCGGACTTGGGGGCTTTACGTGCGGATTGCTTCGGTTTGGGGCGTGGTTGGTGGCATTGGATGTAGCCCCGGATCTAAATCCGTTCATTGAATTGCTGACGACTACTACTAAAGCAAAGCATTTAATTGAGAATAACGGATAGCAACTATCTAACTCCTTAATTAACATAGTTAAGACCTTGTCAACTCATCTCTTACATCCCAATCTGCTCACGAAGGCCCAAAACGCATAGACCCTAAGACTTCAAAACTCTCAGAACCACAAACCTGGGGACCCTAAACTCCAAACCCTAAACCCTGGACCCTGAACCCTAAACCCCCGCTAAACCTCCAAAACCACGAACCTGGAGCAAGTCAGGAGCATCTGGGCTCCACCCGGGAGCAAGTCGCCAGGCGCGAGACTTGCACAGAGGAGTTGGTGCACCGCTCATAGTGTTAAGGGTTTCTGGCGCTTTTGGGGTTTAGGGTTTAGGGATTTTAGTGTTTATGTGTTTTTAGGGTAGGAGTTAGGTTCGGGAATCAGGGTTTTGGTGTTTAGAGCTTTGGGGTTTGCAGAGAGGACTCAATCCTCGACTTCAAGGAGGCCATCGCTGGCGTGGAGAGGCGTATCTGGGAGTTTCCGGTTTGGGGCTTGGCTTGGAGGTTTATGCTTTGGTTCAGAGTTCGGTGGTTTAGGCTTTAGTTTAGGGTTCATCTGGTGTTGCGGGTGTAGGTAGCGGTTTGTTTTGTGGAAGGGTTTGAGTGTTGTAGGTTTTCGAATGCTTTGGGTTGAATGTTCGGTCCTAAACTTGAACCCTACACCCTACCTTAACCCGGAATAACCTACCTTTTTAAAGGACTATAAAGGACTTATATAAGGAAATCATAATAAGGAAACCAAAAAAGGTAGGTTTTTTCCGGTCCAGGTAATTCCTAACCGTCCTAACCCTTGAACCACAAGCTTGCGGACCATTTTGGGGGTCTTTGGGTGCAGAGCTGGTGGACCCGAGAAGCGAAGATCTCGCTTCCTGAAAGTAGATATTATGAACCTTTTCATGGCTGCGGCTCACGCAGAAGAACGGGCCATGAGTTGCCTAATGTAGAGGCTTTAGTTTGTTGGAATTCATGCCCGGTAATAAAGTTTCGTCGCATCCGCTAGAGACGCTCGACGGAGTACGTGGAGTACAAGTAGTGAGGAATACCCTAGCCTGGCTAGCGGAGGAATTTCATCCGGGAATGAAAGTATGTACGTAATTGATCCGGTCGGAGGACTTGTGGAGGAGTCTACTTGGGAATGCGGTCTTGGACAGGTCTGTTGTAAGTGAACAAGACAGAGTGCGACGAACTGTGGGACCGGCACACTAGGGCTTTCCGGGAGTGTGGGATAGTTACTAAGGGGCTTTAATAGGATACCTTTGCCTATGTTTCAGACCCCGGTAAGAGTCCTCCGTACTGCTTGGACCCGGAGAAACCATGCATGAAGTTTTCAATTATACTCTCACGATGTTCAACTGCTGGAGACACCGCTTTCTGCCCCAATGGTTATCATAGCAAGACACTCCAGCTAGGTGTCTTGGACAAGGATGGGTGTGTTCCAGGCCGCTGAGTGCTGGGCTTAGGGCATGGGCAGCGTTGGTAGAACAGGGCTAAGTACTCAAGCTGAAAGATGTTTGACCAAACAACGCTCTAAAGCCTCAAGCCCTAAAGTAGATGAAGCTAGCAAGGAGGATCTTGGGTAAGCTGGGGAAAGACAGCTGGCCCCGCAACTGCAAGGGGCCTACTTCACAAGAGATGCTGCAAGCCGTGTTGATTGAGGCGCTGGCGATGTTTTCTGCGATTGCACGTGGCCATCGATTCTCTGATGCCGCTGATGTACATCATCACAGTCATCATCGTGCTGCTGCCCAACCAGGATACACCCTAAAGCCGGAATTCGCTGTTGCACTACATGTTAGGTGGCACGTCAAGAAACTGAGCCCTCGCCCTTACATATCCGATAACTGATCAGGATCTCGAGCGGCCGTTTGCACAGTTCGTTCTGGTCTGGTCAATTGGTGCACCTTTGGCGATGGCATACCTATGGCTGCAAGTCCTATCCCTGGCAAGATTTAACAAGCAAATCTTCGAATGGGCTTTATCCACTCGGGACAACGATGTCTACAGAGCGCTTCAACAAAACCAAGAGGGGATGACGTTTTCGGTGTTCGGCTTCACCATCACCCTGCAAAGAATCCGGGTGACCGTCATCTCCTTTGTTGTCGGTGTGTTGCTCAAGTTTGTGACGCAGATGGTTATGGACGCAGCGAAAAAAACGAAACTAAGCGTGTGGGGGTTCCGGGTTCAACTCTTCATCAGTCCGATGTTTGGGCTGCGAACCCTCAATGCCTGGTGCCTCCTTCCCCTTTGGATTAATTCCTGGGTTGGCCAACCTCTGGCCCAAAGTGACATGCCGGAAGGAACAGGTCCACTCAGGAGTTACACAACAGTTAACCCAGTTGTCCTGACTGTCATCACCAACGGCAGCAAGAGCGACAGTAGTAAGCAGGCTATCAGATCACCCAAGGACTACCGGTGTTTTGTTCGACAGGTTCCTTATCTAGACTGTGCAGCAGAAGAACATACCGTCTTGGTGAAGGGCGACGTCTCTGATCAACACCATGACATTCATCATGGTCACAGCCACCATGATCAGCCTAACCCTCCCCATCGTCGTCTTCATCTCTTCATCATCAGCAACACAGTTTACTTGTCCTAAACTTCCGCCATAAGGACGGCAATGATCTCGCAGCTTGAACCCCAAAGTCTCAAGCCCTGACCCCTAGACCGTAAACCCTTAAACTCCTAGACCCCAATGCCAAAGTCTACAGCCCTACACCCCTAAACCCTAACTCCTAGACCGCAAACCCTGAAGTATGATGGACGACTTCGATGCGACCTTCTCAGCTGCGCCGGTGGCACCATGGTCCCGACCTTACCCCAGATGTAATCATAGAACATATAGGGCTCAGAGTTTGGAGGTTGGGGTTGAGGGTCCGTAGGGGTTCATAGAGGTTTATGGTATGGGGTCCTGAATATGGGTTGTGTGGAGTTGTGTGATTTCGGGACCTTGATAATTAGAATAAGGTGTTGGGGGCTCTTATGCAGCGATTATGAGCCGGAACACTGAGGAAGAGCATTAACTACTGACTATTCATGCAATAGGGGTCGGATGAAGTATTGGAGAAATACTCCTTGAGGTTATCTGTTCTCTTATAGTCTACTACCACCGCAAGAAACTAATCTAATTTCTGAGGCCGCTGTCTTAGGCTTCGAGGCTCGGTTGCACCCACAACTTCCAAAATGCAGCTCCATGCCTTGAATATCCAGAAAGCTCCCAGGGCCTCCCAAACCCCCTAATTGAGGAATATACCTTAAATTATATTAGGGATCCTATTATAGTTTAAGGTATATTCCTTAATTAAGGGGTTTTGGAGGCTCTGGGCTGTGGTCTCGATTATAGTTTGAGGCGCCGCACATTAGCTGCGAGCAACGCACATTCCGTAGGCGGTGGAACTGCAACTGAATGGCTGGTAACGGCATACTTTTCCAATACTATTCCGTAGGGTCCCCTATAATATGATATAGTTTTACATGATGCTTTTTTACTATACCCTCAACCCTATTCTAGTATAAGACCCCTACAACAAGCCATTTCACAGCTATCGATTGTTCCAGACACCAAACGACTCTTCACCCTCTGGACCAAGCCCGGGGATCTCAACTCAGCTGCTGGCCATCCCAACAAACACAGGATAGTTGAGGGTTTACGGGCTGTGGTATAGACTTATTAGGGGTTTTATAAGGGTACAAGAGGCCAGATTTTCGCAAATCCTCGTTTCGAGCTTGGGAAGCTTCTTCCATGCAACCCCGAGCTTCGAAAACTCAGTCGCAGAACCCGAAGCCTGCGAGCTGCCCAGTTTAACCATCCGAATCACGAAGACGGAGGACACGGTTCAGATAGGGGCCGCAATAATTGCCAATACTATTCTACCCCCAAACCCTATTCCAATTATTAAGGCCCTTACAGTCAGGATTCAGTGGTTTCGTGCTGAAGAAAAAGGTGGTGTTCCGAGCGTTTCGCCTTTGTCTGGGTGCAGGGTCTTCGGAGGCCTCAAAAGGTGGGATGAAGGTAGGTAGGATTAAGGATCCCTTATATAAGGACTCTCATTTGGGAATATCCCACCAACCTTCATCCCACCTTTCGAGGCCCTCGAGGGTCTGGGGCCACTCTGGGATTTGGACCTTGCGGTTAAGATGTTTAGGGTTTAGGGTTTAGGCTTTCTTCTGCGATGTTGCTGTTCATGCCATCCATCTGCTTCTGACATAGGACTACTACGACCACTACCATTGTCACAAGCGCTGCCACTGCTACTACCTCAACGCGCGTATCACTACCATCACCACCACGACTACTACTCCTAGTACTCCGACTACTCCTGCCTGCTCCTACGACTTATAGTACGACTGTGACGATGACGACAAAGACGCGCACTGTGCTTGGAGGGATCTTGCACTAGCTGCGGCTGCTGTCGCAGTATGGTTGTGACAGTGTACAGGATGGGGATGATGCATCTTCGATAGACAAAAAATCAACAAGCAAATGTAATCATTCACATATGGGCGGTTGTCAAAATTATGGCCCGTTTTAGGTCCCTATTATAATATAGCACCTATTATTTAGGGTACCCAGAAAGGAGCCTTGTTTTTGACAACTACCCATATATATATATATATATATATATATATATACACACATGGTCTGCCGCCTGCCGCATGCAGGAGTTTGTAGGAGCTCCATTCTGCATTTCTAACTTGCTGCAACATCGGCTGTATGATTAGGGTGGTCCACAGACTACAAGGCTCCGTGGTTGCTTCAATTTCTTTGCAGTTTCCTTAAATCCTGAACCCCTAAACCCTCCGCATCCACGACTTAGTCCTCGGAGTTTCGACTTGTTAGCTGGCCCCAGTCGCACTCCTCTCGGCCGCAGAAGCCTGACTACACACTGAACAGCTCCAACCTGCGAAAAAACCTCAAACCCTCAGCCCCAAACCCTATAAACCCTAAGCCAGAAACCCCTAAACCCTAACCGCCCTAAAGCCTAAGCCCTAAGCCATCAACTTCCCAAGCCCGTGTGGACAGGAGCAGATGTCACTCATGATGCAGGTGCCGATCTGATCCTGTGGCTTTTTTTATCGAACACCTAATTTTTTTGCGCCTTAATGATTAGAATAGGGTCCCTGCAGTACTGTAGCCTGTCCAGTAACCCTGATAGTAGCCCGTATGTTGCAGTAACCTTAACCCTAAACCCTAATCCCCAAACCCTAATCAGCTGCAGCGCTTCAGATTTGAGTTTCATGCCCAGCGACTCCATCACTCAGCCTCAAGCGCTGAGCAGTTGAGGGCGCGAGAGTTTGGGGTTGATGAGCCCGACACCCCGAACCTGAACCCCGAGCTTAATGCAAAGGCACAGTTCATTCTTAACAATCAAGGATGCGGCTGCTTATCTCCGGGTCATGGGCACAGTTTGGCAAACTTCGCTATCTCTGACATCTGAGAAACCTGGAGATCATACGATGCTCGGGGTTATGCCAACTGTTCTCGACCATATTAAGGAGTAGCTTGAAGTGAATGAAAGGTGACAATGTAACATACTTCTCTTGTTGATCCGTTGGTCCTGTACGTAGAGCTACCCGGAACAGGGCCTCCAAGCAACAAGGACAGCTCCGGAAAAGACAGTCGCTCTGTCCTCCAACTACTGCTTCCCCTCGGAGCATAGAGAAGTACCTGTCATAGTATTACATGCGGTATGGTGCCTTTGTAAAATATGCCCATTCTGGACTTGGGCGCATGGTAGGTGGCCCCGCCCGTAAGAAGCACGAAAGAGCAGCGACTGTCTCAGCGCTTCACCGCCTATGTGATCGAGATTAACGACTTCGGCAAGGTGTGCGAGGCATCGGCTTCATGTATATTCGTTTTTGCATCATATAGTTTACCATAACACCCTGTTCTAGTTGTTCAGGCCGTTCACGGGAGTTTGTTTGCAGGGTTGTTGACCTTAGAGTTAGACACCCAGAGTTCAACAACCTTGGGCGCAGTGCTAGGTAGCTCCAAAGGGCCGGCGTGCCTAGAGTACGAGCAAGCCGACAGTGCAAGAAGACGCCATCTTACAAAAAGTTGGAAACCCAATAGATTCAATCCTTGAGAGTACTGTGGGGTTCCCAGCACTAATCCGATTTCCAACTTTTTGGGGTTTACCATAATCTCGATAACAGAAACCTGAGTCGGAGAATCCGAAGAGCAGTGTCTTAGCGGCTTTGAGATGTTTGCTGTGGCCTGGGGTTTAGAGTTTTTCGCTGGGTAGGCTGTTGTTTCTGGGCCTATGGCTCTGGGGTGCGAGCATGTGATGCATAGATGTTCATAGACTTGCAGCGCTGTCTCAAATAGCCTCTTCAGCATCTTAGAGCCCTCGACTTTGGCAGAGTAAGTCTTGTGCGAGTGTTCAGCGTCCCAGATGTCGAGGTGTTCATGGCTGCGCGTCACAACGACCCATCTCTCCGATCTTCCATGCATCTTGAAGCCGAACCCGCATACCTTTGAGCAAAGTGTGACAGTGTGACTTTGTAACAACTTGGCAGGTATCACATCGGTATAGCGACTTCGAAGCCTTGTACAAGGCGGGCAGCATCGCGTGCCGGGGAATGTTGTCCGAGCTCATGGCGGTTTACGATTTTGGCTTTCGGGTGTGGGCTCCAGGTGAGGGCTCGTTTGGCCGAGGGGTTTAGGGTTTAGGGTGTCGGTTGCCAAGACATGTAGCGCCCTGCCTGCGAGGTGGGGTCTCGGTCTCTGCCACAACTGCGTCCGCTGCACCAATGTAGCAAGTGATTCTGCCAAGGGATCCAAATCTCCAAGCTCCCCTGTAGTATCCGTACGCTTTTGCCCTTTTTCTGTTTGGGTTCCCTTATTACACCGTGTCACTTCCAAGATGAACGACATGTGCAGATCTGCCTAGGAACACAGCCGTGCTGCCTCAGAACACAGAGTTCGAGAGCAAAGAGGCCTAAAGGTCAGAGGTTGGCATCCGGGTAGCGGATCAGTATTCTACAACCCTACAGGCCTACATCTTAGACGTACTGGCGCCCGACATCCCTCAACTTGCGTGTTCCTCAAGGCACGATCTTAAACGAGGGACTACCGTAGAGAACTCCACACACATGGAAGCTCCCTGAAACAGGGACCCAAATACAGGGGCCTTAATAATTACCTATACTATTTTGGGGGTGTCCTTTTTGTAATTAAAGTAGAATATATACCCCAAAACCCCAATTCTTGTTATTAAGGCCCCTATATTATAAATAGAACCCTTATAGTAACCCTTGAAAGAAGCCCTAGTCTAATTGTTAAGGCCCCTACCCTGCTTGCGAGAGCTCCCGGAAAGACCCCTAAACCCCAATCCCCCAATACCCTACACCCTATATACCCTGGCCCTAAACCCTGTCAAACCCTACATACCCTAAACCACTATAAACCCCTAAACCCTGAACCTTAAACCCTAATACCCAAATACCCTCAACCCTAAACCCTATAAACCCTGAACCCTAAACCCCAAATAACCTAAACCCTAAACCCCAAATGCCCGAAACCCTATCAACCCCTAAATCCTAAGCCCCTAATACCCTAAACCATACATATATACCCTAAACCCTAAACCTCTAAGC